ACTCTGTCACTCAGAGGCTGAGGGACGAGAGATATTTCCACTTACTGAAACTCTGAGATATTGCTAAAGTAAGAAATGGAATTAAAATGTCACAAAATGTGCCGCATATTAAATATTTAACATTTTAAAATTAATGCTCTTAACACATAAACACAAAACATGTGATTGCATGTATAACTTCATTTTATATATAACAGGGAAATGTAAGAGTCCGTTGATGAATTCTCCCCGTGGGCCTTGCTACCACCTCCAACTTTCCTCTCACCCTTCTCTAGTCCATGCTGTCAGTGTTAGCATAAATAAAGACAGGGGGGACCTCAGGGGTTTCCAGAAGTTAGAAGACCGGTAGGAAAGAAGGCCGTGCCCAATATTTTGCCCCTAAGGGAGCAGGCTCCCTTAGATTCCTCACTCCCACCTTCAATACTTCAACTTCAGTCCTGGCTCCCTGATTTGCCAGCTGCCCTCCTCTGCCCCCATTCCGCCCTAGGTTCCCAATTTTCCATCCCTGAACCCCTCAAGGTGACTCTGTTCCAGCCTCAGGAGGACGCACATTTCGCAATGCTCCCCAGTGGTCCCAGGGCCATGCAAGGCTCGCGTTTCCACAGGCGGCAGCGCACTGGAGAACAAACCAAACTGGTCTCACTGTGTGCCAAGGACCGAGCTGTTCCCAACTTCACTTTGACACTTGAGTCTAGTCACGGAGCTCTTGCCAACGAGCCCAGCCCGGTGCCTCGGAGCAGCCCAGAGGCCAGCGAAGGCGCGTGGGCAGGAGTTGTCTGGAAAGCCAGGCCTGCAGGCAGTCCCGGGACCCGGGCTACTCTGTCGGAGCGGGAGCGGGACCCGGCAGTGCAGGCCTCGCGGGGGCTGGGCTTGCGCCTGAACCGCGTCGGGATGGGGGGCTGAGAGCGCGGGAAACCGGGTGACGCACGAGGGCCTGCGGGCCTCTGGGGACGCAGCCCCTCCCGGGCTCCCGGGTAGTCCAGTCAGCCCACCAAGCCTCCACCTCTTAATGCAAATGACCTGGGGCTGCTCATCCCACAGGGCCCCGCAGACTTAGAGGCCGGCTGGTAGCTCTCAGAAGACGCGTTTATCCTCAGCCCCAGTTCCCCCGTGTCCGTTCCCAGGGCACGGATGGATGGGAGGCTATAAAATTTGTCTAGAGACTTTGAGAAAAAAGGGCCCCCCTTCCCTTTGCGCGTGAGCGCGGGCTCCCGCGCGCGCTCCCGGGTGAGATTTTAGAATCTAAAGAGCTTGTATTGAAAACAAGTCCTTTTTGGCCTGGCCAGGCTCTTTAGTCGGGAAGTGTGCATCAAGTGGCGGTGTTGTGTTATTTTGTCTAAGTGAATGACTGACTGGTGTTGGGTGATTGGAAGGACCACCATGTTCAGGGTCTGCGGTATAATTACTAAGCATTCGCTGCCATAACCCCCTGTGGCTGGGGGAGTCGCTGCCCCTCCCACCCCGGGCTGGCCGCTCCTCCCGAGCCCCACACACGCAGCCCAGCAGCGGCAGAGCGAGGAACGTGAGGGTAGGTTGCCTGCCCCGCGCGCCCCCCGCCAGGGAAGGTGGCCAGGGGAGGCGCCGCCCGGACCCCGGACCCCGAGAGCCCTGGCGGGAGACCACTGCCTGAGAGCCGGGATCCAGGCCCACCAGGGTCCGGGGCCTTGGCCATCCGAGTCTGACTTATTTTCCGCGTGGAGAGGATGGAGCAGCCAGTTGGAGAATGCTTGAGTGCTTAAAGAGAGGAAAGGTACAGCTTTCACCGTAGCTGATGGCTAAAGCATGGCCCAGCTTTAGCATCTCGGTGGACCTCATGATTTGTATGGTCATTGATTCGCTGGAACAGCCAACCTCCGCCCCACTCCCCACCCCCCCTACCCTCCCCCACCCCCATCATAGTAGATCGTAGGCATAGTATTCCCTTGTAAGAAGCACTCTCCAATTTAAAACCAGGCCCCGGGTGCCCCTCTTGCTAATCCCCTGTGCCTTTAGTCTGCTTACATCCTCTTCTTTATCCTCTCTCCACCTTTCCTTCCCCTCCCTCTCTCCATTTTTTTCTCCCTCACTCCCTCCTCTTCCTTCCTCCGTTCCCCTCACACCCTTCTTTCCCTCCACATCCTTTAGATGTTGGTACTAACTGCCATTTCGGTGCTGAATGCTACTTACTCACAGACATCCCCAGTCTAGGAGTGGCCCGGTAAACCCTGTACGTCAACCAGTGTGATTTGCACTTATAGAATTGGGAGAGCTCAGGTTTGGCCCAAAAGCACTTTTGATTAATTAAGTTTCCAATTCAGAGCCCATAAACAGTGTATGCTTTCTCCAAAGAGAAAAGAGCTGACCGGTCAGCCTACTTTCTGGATACAGAAAGACTATTTTTAAGGAGTTTTCCAGTTGCAGACAACTAATTCTTAATTCCCTCATCTACCAAGGCAATTTGTTGTTTTGGCCTTTCACCCTAACACACTCCACATTTTTTAAAGGCTCAAGTCTTCTCCTGTATCAGGTGGAATGCATTATAGCTTTTGAGACAACTTTTGGGCACCTGCCTACAAAATTCTTCTTGATCCTTCACAAGAGAGTGAGGCCAACTAACAGATTTTAAACTTCTCTATTTCTGGGATTGAATAGATTCAGTTGATAAGATGTGTAAAGTTTACTCACCTTTAGTCACATTTGACTACTCACTGAGGCTTTCCTATCTTACAGACTTACATTCAGCCCCAAACTCCTTCCTCAGTGGAGACAGCACAGCAATTCAGATTCTTATTTCAGTTCATCATAAAAAGGAAAATAGCTTTTAATCAGTTTGGGGCATCCTTTATAAATGTTTCTATGCAGAAAAAAGGAAAAAAAAAACATGACAAGAGAAGCAGGCAGAGATCATTCCATCATTTCGGTGGATTACTTTTTTAAAAAACCCTGGATCAAACATTTTACATTTGCCCTCTACCATTCCACCTCTAGTTAGGAGAAGTACTTCTACTATTGACTTTCAGTTTTGCATGATGAATCTCCCCCCACCCCAACCTTTCCAACAGTGCCAAAAGTAACAAATACGCATTCCTTAGCCTGTTCTATTAAAGGTCAACTCTTGATTTACACTCTTCATTTCCTCCCTACCCACCCCCAACACACACTTATAAAGGCACATTTTTCTTAATCCAGAGAGTATTGGGATATGCATAACTTATTTAGGATTGCTCTTTCATTCTTTGAAGCTGATATTAAAGTGTTCATTCTGTTTCATTATTTGTGTTTGTTTTTCAAGTTTCATAGGAAAGGTTTTAATTGGTGTCTCAGTTAATAGTCACCAAGAATCCCTTATTAGATGACTTCCAGGTCATTTGCAAGCCAATAACATTATTGTTGCCCAAATGGAAAGTGAGAGCTAAGATCATTTTTGTCAAGGGATTCGTTTGAGCATTTATCTTTCTTTCATTTTGGATGGTCTGTGGGAAGAAAGGAAGAACTAGATGGGGCAGAGGACAAAGACAGAGAACCAATGAAAACTTTTTAAAATTAAAACCATTTTCCCAGACTGTTCTCTTGCCACAAATGAAAACACACAGAGCAGAAGTCAAAAAAGCGGGTTGTTGTCACTCAGGGCTACGGGAGGCTGGAGAGGCCTGGCACTAATTCCCATGGAAAGGTAGACAAACCTATCCGTCTTCCCCTTCTCTTGAAGTACCCTCACTGCCTAAGGTTCAGGACTCTCTCAAAGTTCATACGGACCTCAGCTGGGTCTAGAGGCTTCTCTAGGTGGCGGGGCTTCCCTGGTGAAGGAGGCAGGTGCTCTCCATGGAACTAAGGAGCAAGTGGTGGTGGGCGGATGGCACACAGGGACTGTAAAAACAAGCATGAGAGGGTGGGGTGCTATCACAGGAGGGCTGTGGCCACCAGTCCCCTGACAGGATAGCGATCAAAGAGTCAAAACTAGCTACCAATATGTGAAAGAGAGCCAGGTGTGGGGCCCTTTGGTTGCTAGACACTAACCTTCGACTAGTTCCATGCCTCTCCTTGGGTTCCCATCCTGCATTTCCTGAGATGGGAGGCCTAACCAGAGGAGAAGGCGAGGATGGGAAGGAGTTGCGCCTCGCCCCTAGCCAACACACAAACACAGGTGGGAGCTTGCTGAGATCAGGAGACACACCCGGAGTCCTCGGTGATCTGTGTGCTTGGCTCATGCATGGTCAACAAGAGAGAGGAGAGGAAAGCCTCGCTCATTTTCTTCAGTTGCCTCTCTGGGGTGGTTGTGGCTCCTTTTCCCCAACCCTCCGCCTCACTCCATCAAAACCAAATAGTATTGAAACTCCATTGCCTTTGCCAGCACTGAGCCTAAAAATTCAGGATTTGATAAGGTTACTGCACCATTGATATATAATTTTAGATTTTTTAAAACCTCCTCAAAGAGACAAATGTTTGGGCTGCTTAAGAACTGAGGAGAAAACCTGCAGCTGCACCAAGGAATAATCTATTGGACAAATATTTTAATAAAAAGATATGAAGAGATCAGCCCGACCTTGCAAGGTCTTCTGCTTTAAAAAAATCTTTATCAAACCCCTATTCTATGGCTTCAATAAACAGAACCCATTACCTCACGGCATCTTTTGTTGGCCCCATACAAGAGAGAACAAAATGGTTATTCAGGGGAACGCTTTCGATTTTTATTGTGGGTAGCCTGCACAAAGAGCCGTGTTATTGTATTTAAAAGAACCATCTGTAGCAGAAACAATGGCATCAAATTATCTTTGAATACCCACTGAAAAAACATAAAGCTTTTTTTTTTATTCTTCTTCTGTACGGTGGGGGGGATAGAGCAGTGTTAGGATAACTGACTTTTTTGTTGTTCTCTGGGTGCATTCTTCTCGCTCCCCCTCTCTCTCCCCCTCACCCTCTCACTCCTCTCTCTCTCTCTCTCTCCCTCTCCCTCTCTCTTTTAAAAAATCAGCCATTTGGGGTTTTAAGCCATAAACGATTTTTCTTGTTGCAGGGGATTGCAGTGGCAAAGCTAGGCTAGGTCTTGGAGGCTGGTAGAAGGCGACGCGGGTGAAGGCAGGAGGCTGATGGAGAGACTGGGGGGAAGAAAAGCCGAAATGGATTCCCGGTGCCTTGGATGGAGGACCAGAGGGGAATTGCAAGCTCCTTCAACTGTTCTGTCCGGTGAGAAGTGATCTAGCTTGGACTGACAAGAGGCTCAGGGAGCCCTCACGTTCTTTCGCTTTTTTACCTGCCAATCAAACTGCTACAAGACAACACCCTGATCTGGCATGGACATGTAAGTAGTTTGCAACCCAACTTTGACATTCACTGCTAGCTCACTCCTCTCCGCCCACCCCCCCCAACTCACTTTCTTCCCCTCTCATTCTATTTTTTTTTTCTTTTGACCTTTAAGAGATCTGGAAATACACCCCGTGTGGCAGTCATTTAACACAGGCAGATTTAAGTCTGAAAGCATTAACTTTTGGAATTGAATGCTAATTTTGATTTCTTTAACAAACGCAGAAATGAAGTGACATTATTTTATTCTCTTCTGTACAGTTTTAGTGCTGAACATAATCAGTTGCCTTGCAAGAGTATGTGTGTTTCTTTTTCTATGAAAATGAAGAAATCTGTGAGCCCCCAGAGAGAAATGCAGAAATGAAAAATTCAGACTTCCATTTTAAGAATGTTAAATTCTAGCATTTGATCCCTACAAAGAACCTTCTCCAGACCAAGATTACATAGAATGGAAAGAGTGATTTGAGCCAAAGGTACATGTCACTAGGGGGTTGCTACTATTTTACCTGGAGTCTTCTTATTTTGGTGGTGGTTGGAAGGTGGAAAAAAGAGAAGGAAAGGGACATGGCGACACCTCGTTCTTTACGAGAGTTTGTCATTGACATCTAGGGAGGCAAGAGGGCAGAATAAGCAGAAAATATTACCTGAGAGAAGGAATTACAGAGCATGGCGAAGCTGGAAGCTGGGGAAGGGGGGGCCTTCTGTGGGAAGTTGTGCGAGGGTTGATAGGGGCTTGTTCTCTGGCGCCCTCTAATGGCAATTTGAACCAATGTTTTACTTTCTTAATTCAGTACTGGGCAAAGCAGCTGGGTTTTTGTTGTTGCTGCTGGTGGGTTTTTTCTCCTCAGACTTAGAAACTGGAAACTACTAGTGGAGTAAATTGACTGTTTCATCCCAGAAACTTATGTATATGCCTTAAAATTATAATTTTTTTTCCTCCTCAAATATCCCCTCCTCTCCCAAAATTGTGTTAGACTCATAGAGGAGGAGAATCTAATGGTAAATTGATTTATGGAGGGTGGCCCCAGCTCGATTAGGAACGCAGGAAAAGGGATTCCTGTGCTACCTGAACATCATTCTGACTCTTCTAATATACTCGAGAGTTATAGGGAGGTAGGGTAGAGAGGGATGATTTGGAAATTGCAGATTCTGACACGGGCTCATTATAATACAATTTAAAGGGGGCTCTCAGGAACCTCTGTTATTGCGACATGTGATGGTCAGGGGGCTTTCCTTCCCGCCTCCTTTTTCTTTTTTCTTTTTCTTCTTTCTTTCGTTATTTTTTTTTTAATTTGGTAGATAAAGGTTAATCTTGGGCTGAATGATAGAGCTATGATTGACAAGAGAAAAGGTGTTGAGGGCAGGTCGCGCTGTCTTATTTACAGCCCACTGCTTGCTGTAGAGTCTTTGTTAGGACTGGAAAGCTAATTTAGTGCTGATCAAAAGCACCACAGAGTTAAAGGACTGGTAATGACTGCTAATTTCATTTCAGCCTCATGCATCCCAACTGCTGTAATTAAAGACACGATATTTAAATACAGGTGAAGGTTGGTTTTTTTTTTTAAGTTGGGGTGGGGGTGGATGGATTACAGTTTTATTTAGATTTCATCTTATACATGGGTGTTATGTAGTCCAACATCAGATTTTTTTTAAGAGCCGATTTATGTCATTTATACCTGGCTTTGCAGAATCGGCAGTGTGAAATGTGTCAATCACATAAAAGCTCCTGTTTAAAGAAAGAGAGGAAAAAAAGGATGCAGAGGAGTAACTGTTTGGGGGGGGGGATTTAAATATTTGGGTCTCTTTTTTCTGCTTCAAATTAATAGAAGGGCCTTCGAAATAGCTAAAGTATTTGAAACTTGGGGCAGGGTTAACAGGCCAAAGGGATCAGTGTCAGCTTTTAAGACTTCTGAAAAGATCATGTGAACAGATGGAAAAATATATTTTTAATTAAATAATTTCCCCCACACTGGAGCAGAGTTGGCTCAGAAACCGTGTAATTCCTCAACCGATAGGAGTTTCTTTATGAGAACATCAAAGCATAAAAAGCTCTACATTTTCGTAGTTGGTTAAAATTGATAACCCACCGCCCTCCCCCCACATACACACACCCAAAAAAAGAATTTAGCCTTTAATCTCTTTTTATCCACGAAGACTAAAGCTCTGTACTCGACCCCGCGAGCGGTTTTCGCCTTCCGGGGCTGGAACCCGGCTCAGATGTGAAGCGGCACTGAGCAGCCGCGCAGGTTCGTGCCAGCGCCCCCTGTTGGACACAGTGGGAGCAGCGCAGCGCCAGTCCTGGAAATCGCTAGAACCTTGCTCTGGGGTTAGATACAACTCTTTATCACCCTCCAAAAAAGGAGATGGGAGGGAGAAACAAGTTTTTGTATCCTTGAAATATAATATAATTTTTATCCAATAAAAAGTTAAAAGGAGATAATACACTTTTAATTCAGTAAAAAGACTAACCTATTCCTCCTCCTCACATTCCAGTCACCCCCTACCCCGATTTGAGTTTGGGACTCTTATTAAAGATTCTGCAATAGTAAAACACGTAGAGAAGCATGATCTTAAAAACAAAGAGGATTTTCTTCCGTAGCAGAGGAGAACCAAAAAAAAGTTACTTCTCCCATTCTATCCACATTCAAAAAATAAAACGGAAGCTGCTGCCGCCTGCTTCTTTGACGTTGTTAGCAGCATCTTGAATGCCATCAGAGGTCCTTCAAGTATTGTAACTGAGTCGCTGAGTAAACGAAATATTTGCTCCATTTTATTTGTTTATTTTTAGAATGTAATTAGAAGGCCAGTCTATTCTTTGAATGTTTCCCATCCCCCAAACCAAGCTTGATCAAACTTTTGCTTTCCCGGCTAGCGGTTAAAATTCAGGTATTATTTAAGAAACAGGTGCCTGACACCTTTCTTCTTTTATCTCAGCCTTAGGATTTCAGGGAAAGTGTATCAATGATAAAGAGTATTTTCTTTTGAAATTCATCATTTTAACTGACGAGGAATCCCAATTATCCTAAGGCAAAGAGGACTATTTTTACACTTCCAAAAACTACCTGTCTACATAAGAAAGAGCTTTGCCTTTTTCTTTGGTCAGCAACTAAGGACAAAAGTACACTCTGCATTCTTTCAGAAAGATAAACTATAAAAAGGAGACCTTTTTGAAAGTAAAACAATGGGAAAATATGGGTTTATTTAGATGTGTAAAATCAAATTGAAACAATTCATGTGCTAAATAAACAGATAAGATCTCAACAAGGTGTTTTATGATTTTTCTCATCAAGGATATACTTAAATCTTTTATTTTTAGATAAAAACCTTAAGAAGTTCAGGGCTTGCCTTTTTTTTTTTTTTTTTTTTTTTTAGTTTGCCAGTTGAAGGAAACCAGCTACATGTTCCAACAGAATTACTTTTTAAGGTGTTAATTGTGGCCACACAAGTTGTTTATGTTGATCTTAGGTTTATTCCTCCCACCTCCCAAAATCAGTGGATCAGAGATGGTGCTTTCAGGGGTGTTTGTGAAAACAATTTGATGCGATGAAAGATGCCTTCTCCATCTGATTCCAGAATCGAATTTCAGCTTATGTTTCTCAATAAATTAGTTCAGATACTATGAAAGGAAAAGAATTAAGGTTTTTGATCAGTTTTTATCCGGAATTCTATCAAAACAAGCTGGCGGGATTCCCTGCTACAGACACCCCTACCTTTTGCTTTACCAAAAAACTAGTACCATCACAGTAATATTAAGCCCGGGCCAGGTCTGGAACCAGCGCCAACCCCGTAAGGTAACAAACGAGGCGCTGACAGCTGCAGTCCAAGGCTGCCCGCGTCGTGAGGAGGCCAAAACCCCCAGAACTTTGGGGGCAACCCACAAAATGGGATCTATGCCTGCAGTTTGTAAGTGATGTAGCATTTGCAAGAGCAGAGGCCCGGAGATGTCGGTCCCGTTGCGTCCCATTGGGGGTCCCAACTTGTAGAGAGAAGCCAGAAGAGGGGAGGAAGGAGCCGCACCTGACGGCCGGCGGGCGGTCAGTAAGTCCCCAACTTCCCGGGGCCCAACGAGAAAGCGCAACTGCGAATTTGGAAAAGAGAACTGAACGAGTGGGTGGCCTAGGCCTGGGAAAGCACCCAGCTCTCCCAGCACAGTGTCATTTCTGTGGTTTCCAGCGGCCTTAGTCCCAGCCGGAATCCCACGCCACACGGCGCGCCAGCAGCAAGGCAGCTCTTCCACCTTTGGGGCCTGGGGAGGGGGCAGCAAGGGACTGACCCCTTAGGAGCAGGCAAAGCCTCGGCTGGCAACGGGCTGCGCTTTTCCACCGCGGCGAAAAGCCCTTTAGGGGCGGGGCGGACATTTCTGGTGTCCTGTCCCAGTGTCCAGGCCTGAGCCGGAGCCCGTTGGCTGGGCGCCCTGCTTTGGAAGGAGTCAATCTTGCCCGATTCTGAGGGCGATCCAGGATGATGGGCCGGCCTAGCGTGGGCCCACTGAGTGGGTGTTAAGTCCTCAGCCCCTTCTCTCCACGGCATCTTTCCTGACGAACCCAAGCCTCAACTTTGAAAAGCCGGTCGGTATACGAGGCTTGGAGTTTGTTAGCTATTTGGGGTTGGAGAAAATCACTGATTATTAAGACCGAGATTCATGGATGAGCCCTCATTTATTAAGTTTGCTCTTTTACTTTGTTTTTAAACTTTGAAGACACTTTAGTTTCTTGATCCAACCTTGAGCGAGATGAAGATGCCAGGGAGAAAGCCCAGCCAGGCAGGCCTGAAGGAGCTGAGACAGACAGACACTCACCTCTCCACCACTCAGCGGGTAGATAAACGCTGCCAGACTGGGTCCTAATCCAGGGCCCAGCTGCTATGTGGGTTGCTGAAGGGTGTTGAAACCACAAGTACAACTTGACACCATTGAGCCTATGGTGCTTGTCAATAATCTGTGAATTAGGTGCAGAGATTGTCACTGTAGATCATAACAGTTTCTGAAGGACTCATTAC